CAGTGACCCCTACTCTCCCAGTGCCCCCAGTCAGCCAGTGTCTCACTGTCCCCATGTCTCCTAGTGCCTCCATGTCTCTCATTGCCTCAAGTGTCACAATGTCCCCATGTCTCCAAGCTAGTGTCCCTAGTGTCTGTGGCCCCGGTGTCTCTGTATCCCCATGTCTCAGTGTCCCCATGTCTCCCAGCCAGTGTCTCTAGTGTCTGTATCCCCATGTCTTCAAGTGTCCCCTGGGGCACTGAGACACTGATACATAGGAACACTGAGACCTGGAGTAATCGACACATGGGGGCACTGAGTCATGAGGGCACTGGGAGACATGGGGGCACTGGGAGGAGGGGGTCCCTGAGGGTGGGGGCACCCTCAGGGTACTATAGTGCCAGGAAAACGAGTATGTTTTCCTGGCACTATAGTGGTCCTTTAATGAAGCACTTTTGGTGTATAGATCATGCCTCGGAAGTCTCACTGCTCAATTCTCTGCCATTAAGGAGTAAAATCGCTTTGTTTTTGTTTATGCAGCCCTAGCCACAAATAAAAATACAAGTACAGAGTTTCGGCGTGTGACCCAAATATGTACCAAATCACTCAGAAAACACCCGTGTGGTAACCTCTCTATCCACACAACAAATAACATAAAATCATATACATACAAAGGGTGGAATGATGCGGTTCAGGGTAAAAGATGGTAATATACAGGCAAACGGAGTAACTGTGGAGATAAAATAGTATACAAGCACCTAGTGCAATATTGTACAATATAATATTTGTAAACATAAGATGTATAATCCAGTACTCACAAAGGAGGAGCCAATAGACAATGGCTCAATCAGAGTGCCTGTGGGATGGTTAGAAGGGATCCCACTCCCTTTCAGGATGCAGATGATCTTTCTTTCTCCAAAAGAAATGTCCACACCAATAAGGTATTAGGGACAAAATTTATTTTAATAATAAACAGTAAAATACAAATATGTAGCAATATAAGATCAAAAAAGGGTAAAAACTTAAGGTAAGTTCTTAGTAGGTAAAAAAAAGGTTGCAAAACGCGTTTCGCCCAATTCGTGGGCTTCCTCAGTTGCTAATAGTGTCTATCAGGTGATGTGTATTTGTACCTGTCCAGGAAGGAGGTTTCTTCCTTGTTCGCGCGGTTTTCCTGTTTCCGGTCGCACGTTGATGACGTATTTCCGGTCCGCGGGTTGTAAATAAGATCGCTGTTGGAACGCATATGCGTTCCACGCATTCACCAAACTTTATTCATTCCTTTAGTCCATGCACAATGTGAATAGCTTTCAATATACAAACTTTATTCTTCCTTTTAGTCTATGAACAATATAAGTATCGATAGGTAAACCCAGTATTGAGTAGAAAAGAAATGGAAATAACTTCATTCATAATCTGAGAGATCTTATGAGCATATATTGTAAAAATCATTAAAAAATCATTTAAAAATTATATACTAGAGTTCACATACTTATAGGTAAAAATCCATAATAAAACTTTCAGAGAAGAGAAAAAAATTTTTTAAAAAAATTGAGTAAATGAATAAAAGTACACTGTAAAACTATACTTAGTAACTCCTAAAATCCTAATGTTAGTACATAAGTATATAGCATATAAACAATAAAACAGAACAAATAATAGTGACATATTATAAAAAATGGCAAATTTCAAAATCTGAATTAAGACCGTTTGGTATAAGAGTATTAAAATTAAAAATAAATTTCATTTCTTCTTTACCCAGCTTGTTGGTATAGTAACCTCCCCTCCAATCCCTTTGAACTAATTTTATTGCACAGAAAAATAAGCCCGTGGGGTCTTGGTTGTGTTGGATTTTGTAATGTTGGGAGACAGAGTGCGTTTCTAGACCTTTTTTAATATTGCGGACATGTTCCGCAATACTTACATTCAAAGGTCGTATGGTTCTCCCTATGTAGAGAAGATTGCATGGACATTTCAGGCCATAGATAATTCCTTTAGAATGACAAGTAAGGTGATCCCTTATTTTATATGACCGTCCTATTGTTTCACTTATATCCACGAAATGTCTTTTTTTATTATTTGTAGCTCTACATGGTAAACACTCCCCACAACCATAAAAGCCTATCAAGTTATCCATAAAGTGCTTAGGTCTTGTTGTTTCTAAATTACTTCTAACTAGCATGTTCCTGAGGTTACTTGTACCTCTATAGATCATTCTTGGTTTGGGAGGTAAAATATCTTTCAATATAGGGTCATCTCTTAAAATATGCCAGTGTTTATTAATAACTCTTTGTATTTTTCTCGTGTTCCCACTATATTTACTAATGAAAAGGACTTCATTAGAATTATATGTCTTATTTTTGGATTTATATTTCAACAATTGGTTTCTTTCCAAGAGTCTGATTTCTTCCATATCTTTCTTTAGATCTTCTTCATCATACCCTTTTTCTATGAACTGATTTTTTATATATTCAGCCTGTTTGATATATTCTTCTTCTTCTTTACAGTTCCTTCTAATCCTTTTGAATTGACCTTTAGGGGCATTAATAAGCCAAGGAGTGTGATGGCAACTGTTTCGATTAATATAACTATTTGAGTCCACTGGTTTAAAATGATTTCTAGTATAAATACTCAATCCTTTTATATAAATATTAAGATCTAAAAAATTAATGTCAGTATTACTCACATTGCTAGACAATTTAATGCCCCAGTCGTTGGTATTGAGAAACTCCAAAAAACGTGTCAATTCATAACTGCTGCCTTTCCAGATAAAAAATATGTCATCTATATACCTGCGGTAGGACACCAAGTTTGCCCTCCAGCCATGGCCACTGGAAATAAAAAATTCTTCCCAGTATGCCATAAATAGGTTGGCATAGCTGGGGGCAAACTTGGTGCCCATCGTTGTACCGCAGGTCTGCAGATAAAAATAATCTTGAAACCAAAAAAAGTTGTTGGTTAAAATAAGTAAAATACCTTCTAAAATGAACTCTACTTGTTCTTCTTTAAAAGATGATTTTTCTAAAAAAATACTTCGCTGCTTCAAGTCCTTTTTCATGGGGGATTGTGCTATATAAGGAGCTAACATCACATGTGACTAGGAAGTTCCCTTCCTGCCATTCAGTCTGTTCTAATATTTGAAGCATGTGAATAGTGTCTTTGAGGTAATATGGATTTTTCACCACTAAAGGTTGCAGCATAATATCTATATATTCTGATATCCGTGTGGATATAGAATCGATACCTGATATTATAGGCCTCCCTGGTGGGTTTTGTTGATCTTTATGTACTTTAGGTAGGTGATAAAATACCGGTACTTTGGGATAATCAATAGATAGGTAGTTGGCTTCTTTTTCATTGATAATTTTTTGTTCCTTTCCTCTTAAAATATATTCCTCAAATGTTTTCTTTATTTCTCCCATAGGATTCGATGACAAATACCCTGGCTGTGATAGAAACAGCCTGCATGAAAAAAATGGTTTCATTTTCAATCAGATATTAACTTACTCTAGACGCTTTTATCTCCTGTACTGTAACTTGAACTTAATTACAAACAGGAGGGTCCTACAAGTTCTATCAAGCTATTAACAGTGCAGTAGATAAGACATTTTAAATTAAACATAATTTGCAATAAGGGAAGTGTAAACATTAGATTACTTTTTTCAGGAAGTGTTTAGGAAAGGTGGGCAAGTTACATGCGGGGAGGTTTGACTAGGGATGTATAAACAAAGTGAGTTATCTTCTACATGGCAGATAATTGAACAGTGAGACTACAAGGGCATCATTTATATACCAAAACTGCTTCATTAAGCTAAAGTTGTTTTAGTGACTATAGTGTCCCTTTAAGTCTCTTAGTTCTAGGCGCACTTGTATTTAAAAGGAAATGGCTTCCATGGAGATCTGAGAGTTAATTAAATAAATGTAAGTATGTATGGTCAAGAAATTAACCATATTTCCTGCTCAAAGAAGGCAAATGTTTTGTTTATTTCACATGCAATGATGGATGATAATCTGACAGCTAATCCATAGCTGTCTTTGTATATTAATAAATTGCCTAGTCATTTCTATTTCATGACAATGTAAACACCTGAATTAAAATGCAATGACAAAGAGCTTATACTCATCTAAAATCTGCTGAGTGTGAAAAAACAGTAAACTGTCTGTCTGTGTGTCTGTCTACCTGCCTATATATCCATTTGTCCATCAGTGTATCTTCTATGGATGTATATGGCATATAAAAAGTAAACTTTATTGAACTTCCTAGGTGACCTGCTGCTGCACAATTATGATTTATTCAAAGTACTTGGTAGGAGATGTGTCGATTTAATGTAGTAGTTATGGTTTAAGGAGACTGTGTGTGCATTCCCTCCAGATTTATCAAACTTTTCTGACGCCCAAAGCTACACAACAAATGCAAAAAGTTCAAATTTGTACAGATAATGGAAACGTTGAACGCTTTCTCTTTGTCTCTGCGGTAGCATGAATTTGGTTTCAGATGCCAAGATATCATTAAAAAACTGTGCATCAAAAAATGGAGGAGCTGCATTCAGTGACACCTTGCACCATAACCACAGCATTAAACTGCAGTGATTATAATGTGTATGGCATCACTTCAAGTGAGATCAAGACAATGCATCATTTAATTTGTGTGCAGAGGAATAAAACATCATTTTTTTTTTATCTAAAACTGAGTCCACTTTATTTGTGTAAATTTTGTTTAACCTATATAGCGCTTACAAATGGCTTTTCAGAAATTCTAACATTTTTATTAAAAAAAATACTATAGTATCCTTACAGCATAGTAAGTGAGTGTTATACAGCCCAGAATTTTAGTCCTTTTGTTCCATGGGCAACTAAAAATACCACTCCTCCCCCCCACCCCAAAGAAAAAAAAAATTATATGAGGGAATGGATTGCAAATATTGTGTGTTTGTGTGTTTTATTATTATTTTTTTTTCTCTTTGCTACAATTCGGAGTTTAGTGAATAACCCTCCTAGTTTGCTAGTTAATAAGAGGCATCAGGGCTGTTTTGCCAGTAGAACTTTGAGAACAGCAATGAAAATCTGACATTCGATGTGATCTGAGGGAGGAAGGGGTTAAGGAGTTTGAGAATTGAGAAGGCAGGATAAACTGCTGAAACAAGTCACACCTCTCACTGAGCAATTCAGACTCACATCAAACGTCTTCTCATTGGTTTCCGTCTCACATCTCACTCGGTAATGAGGGTGTCCAGTCCCAGATCAACCCACCTTGCGGTTAGAGAGGTTAAACTGGGCAGAGGACCCACCCAAATATGTAGCTCCGAGAGATCTGATCTGCACAGACAGTAACTCCAACACCCAGCCCCGAACAGCCAGACAGTGAGTGGAGGTCCATTCCTGGACTGTCAGATGTAACAACAACCACTTGGAGAAGTGCTATCAACGATCTTGGGTCTAGAGGAGAACCAAGAGTCAGCAGCATGAAGTCTACTCTGTGGTCGTCTTTCTCATCAACCACCAAGAAAAGACTAAGCAGACACGGGAGGCACGCAACATATCTGTATGGCGGGGATGTCCCAGCTAGGTCCAGAGTGCGAAGGTCCAGGCTGGAATGAAACCAATTCGGCTTGGTTTTTTTTTCACTCGATGTTTCCAGTAAACTCACCGCAATAACTTCTACCTTCACTGCGAGGGTCTTTGCCTTAGCTTGATGTCTTTTTATGAGGATTTTTGGAGTGTTTTCAGACATGGCTGTAACCAGTTACTAGGAATCTGACATCAGCAGAAGACCTGGAAGGACAGGTGAGGTCTGAATCTCCAAGTTTAAAGTGCATGCCTTCTGCCTCTCAAGATATGGAGTGCCTGTTCAGAAGGAGAAGGTTTCTAAAAACATGTATAAGTTTGTCTGTATTTTGTGTCACGCTGGTAACAATACATAAACTTAAACTGGTTGAAGACTCAAGGATCATGAGTGACTGGTTGCTAGCTGAAAACAACTCCTACAAGAGAAGTTTCCATGCAACCAGTGGCTACTCTTCTAAGAAAGAGGGCCCAGGACATGGTCCAGGTGGGACTCATTTGTCACCTGCAAGGTGGGACATCAACGAGACCAATTGTCCAGAAAACCGTCCTCTAAGGAGTCAACCCTGGTTCAGAAATGTGGACCCTAGGTTTCACCAATTTATCTTGCACAGACACTGCAGGTATTTCCCACTTTTGTTGGACCACCCTGAAAAGTGCCAAGGAGACATCCACCTTCTTATTGTGGTGAAGTCTATAATTGAGCAACATGATAGAAGAGATGCTGTGAGGAAGACATGGGGTAAGGAAATGGTGGTAGATGGAAAGAAAATTAGAACTTTGTTTCTGCTGGGTACCACATCAATTGGGAAAGATCACAGGAACCTCCAGAGACTGATTGAGCAAGAAGACCAGATTTATGGGGACATTCTTCAATGGGATTTCATGGACACCTTTTTCAATCTAACTCTTAAGGAAGTTAACTTCTTAAAGTGGTTCAACATTTATTGCCCTAAGGTTGAATTTATCTTCAAGGGAGATGATGACATTTTCATGAATACTAAAAATGTATTAGACTTTTTGGACTTCAAAATAGGAGACCCTTTCCTGCCCAGCTTATTTGTGGGAGATATTATTTCTAGAGCTGTACCTATTAGGAACAAACAAAGTAAATATTTTATCCCCAAAGAGTTGTATGATAAACCATACCCTATCTATGCTGGAGGGGGTGGGTTTTTAATGGCCTCTACTTTGGCCAGAAGATTGTTTACAGCTTCTGAGAAGATACAGCTATTTCCTATTGATGATGTATTTTTGGGGTTGTGTCTGAGCAGTATAGGTGTGCAGCCCAAGGCTCATCCAGGAATAAGGACATTTGGAATAAGCAAAAGGAGGTCTAGTGCCATGAATAAGGACCCCTGTTTCTATAAGAGCTTGTTGGTGGTGCATAAAATGAGCTCAGAAGACTTGCTAAATATGTGGAATGTTGTCCATGGAACAAATATCACTTGTGCTAAAAGTGTTCATTTATAGGAAAATCTAAATCACCCTGTGTCAAGAAGAACATTTGGAAAGATGAAAAAGGAAATGATAATTTAAAAAACAATAAGAGAACGAAAAGCAAGACATATCTCCCCCCTCCATCCGCTACCCCCAATTTCAGATATAATTATATGGTTAAAAAAATTGGATTATTCTTTGTTCCAATTTTTGTTAATTTGGTATAAAATTATATCTAGAACTGTTGGTCATTTTATTTTTCAGTTACTGTTGAGGTCTATTCACTAAACAACAAACTATAGTAAATTAACATTCTAAACTGAAAAGTTTTGGAAATTTCAGCAGATTTAAAAAAAATATATATTCTGTTCAGCTAAAATCACAGTTCTGCTATTTTATGTTTTTAGTTCTACAGTTTGATTATTTCAGCCTAAATGTTGAAATTTGACAGTCAATTCACTAATTTGGTTTTTAACTCTTTCAGTGCTGAATATATGACCAGTACATTGCAAAGCATTGCAACACATCTAACAATGTAAATTAGGGATTATGAATAAACATAATTACAATTATTCACTGCTCTCCAACTTTTAGCAAATTGCGAATTGGAAACTAAAACAGGCCAGGCAAATCAGAATTTTACAAATCAATTTATAATTAGGATTTTTAGGCCTCAATTTAATATTTTTGGATACGCTTTTCACATGATTTAATATTTTGGGATACATTTTTACACTTTCCAAAATATAAAAAAAATAGCAAACAAAATATCAACATATAAAAAAAAAAATAGCAACATATTAAAACATTTTTCAAAATATTGAATCATGTGAAAAGTTTATTCAAAAATATTAAACAGTTGAAAAGCCTATCCAAAAATATTAAATCAAGGCCTTTATTTACTAAAATTCAGAGTTTAGCAAATAACTCTGTCATTGACCAAAATAAATATATTTCTTAAACTCAGTTTACCAGAAATCATGATAATTAAATGGCAAAATTAACCAATGGTAACTGAATGCTAAAATCAACCGATATTACAATAAAATATAAATCAAGTGGAACCTGTTGGTTTTTTTCACCTATAATGAAACAAACAGAAATGCATTAAAAAAAAAAACCCACATCAAAAACATATTGCATAGACTATAAATTAATCGAATGTTCCATTTACAATATTCATTTGACACAGATGATAAAAAACATAATTTCTTACCCTTTGATACATTTATACGGTGGAGTATTTTCTAACTGGCGATTGGGCTAATTTAATCTTTTTTTTGAAAATTGAAATGTTAAATGTACATTGCATGCAAACGTCTCTTTGGAGGTATTTGGCTCGAAAAAAAAAGTATGTTTAAACATATTGGAACAGGCAGTCTATTGTACTGTTGTGCTCTCATACTGGAGTGTAACAAATTGCAGAAAAATACTTTCAAATGCAATAAAATCTGAAAAATATGATTTAATAAATAGCTGTCTGACTTCTAGTCTTTTTCTTAACTGCACCAGATAAAGTTTATGCACAGGCAGGAAAAAGTAATGTTTTGGACTACATTACAAACTACTGGTTTGCAAAGGATTATGGGAGTTGTAGTCCAGTTTCTGGAGGGGAGGGCAGAGGGTGGCTGTATTTGACACCCCTGATGTAGAAGAATTTGCTTATTGGACTTTAAGAGAAACAGTAAAAAAATGTGTAGCCCCCCATTAACAAGTTTCAGGTTTTGACTTACAAAATGTTAAAACATCCTACAACTGCTGTTTGTCCTGTGAAGGATGTGTCTATTTTAGGATTGCTATATTTTCTGCTGAGTTTGAAACAAAAAATATGTGTGTCATTATGAGTTCCTCTGATACTGTTTATGAGAAGCAAGACAAATTACATTTGTTCTTTTATTTTCATACTTGCGTGTCTGTAATAAGATTAGATTACTCTACGGCTAAGAATGTAACAAACAAGGTTCTTTACTAAATGTGCATTGTCAGAAATTGAGATTTGAGTGAAATTAAATTTTAAGGCCAAAATGGCAGAATTTGAAGCATAGCTGATTCGGAGAATTATTCCAGATCAGCTATTTTGGCCTTAAATTTTAAATTAATTTTGAATTCCCAAAAAATCTCCCATGGGTGAAAATCCCCCAATGATATAACTCACAAAGGCCTGCTGTAGCTATGTTTAAAAAATAAGGTCCCAGTGCGTTAAAAGTTACTAAATATACATGGGATACCTTCATTAAAGAGTGATTTGTGGTAAGCTGGCAAACCTGACTGCTAAAATGTAGGGTAAAAGAATAGAGTTTTAAAAATATCCCAAACTGCGTTGACTTGGTAAGTTTTACCAGCATAGCCGTTCGAGATTTTGCTGCAGTTATGTGTTTGATTACGTTAAAGTTACTGATTCACTGTTAAGAGAATAGACACCATAATGTTTAGTGATTCCGCTTATTTGTAATAGTTAAATGTAACGAAAGACAAATATAATCAGTATATAACCTACCTTCTCCACCAAGGCTGTAGGAATCGGCATTACACTCATGCTTTAAAGGACCACTATAGTGTTAGGAAAATAAAACTGTATAAAAAAACCCTTTTCACTTAGCTCAGAGGTCCCTTGGTGCTGGATAGGGCCTCTCCTTCCACAATGTCACAGTAATCTGGGAAGCTACTGCACATGCGTGGTAAATACCGCTCTCGCATTAGGGCTTCTCCATAGGAAAATATTGAATGAATGCTTTCCTGGGGGGGTTTGAAGCTGTGCCAATTCAATTATACATTCAGATATAATGTTAAATGCAGTGTGCCCATGAAATTGTACATTATTATTATTATTAATATTGCCATTTATATAGCGCCAACAGATTTCCTATTTAAATAGGACAATTACAAGAAAACTTACAGGAACAATAGAATGAAGAGGACCCTGCTCAAATGAGCTTACAATCTATAGGAGGTTGGGTATAAAACATATTAGGACAGGAAATATCAATCAAATAGGGTGGGAGTGAAGCAGAGCTGGAGGAGAGAGTAGAGTGCTACCCTTTAGGAGAGAGCAAGAGAGAGAGAGAGAGAGAGACGGGTATGTAAGGCAGAGGTTATTCTGGGAGACCATAAGCTTTCCTAAAGAGATGGGTTTTAAGGCACTTCTTAAAGGGACACTATAGTCAACTGAACAGCTTTAGCTTAATGAACAGCTTTAGCTCTGCCATTTAGGAGTTAAATCCCTTTGTTTATGAACCCTAGTTACAACTCCCTGCATGTGACTTGCACAGCATTCCATAAACACTTCCTGTAAAGAGAGCCCTATTTAGGCTTTCTTTATTGCAAGTTCTGTTTAATTAAGATTTTCTTATCCCCTGCTTTGTTAATAGCTTGATAGACCCTACAAGAGCCTCCTGTATGTGATTAAAGTTCAATTTAGAGATTGAGATACAATTATTTAAGGTAAATTAAATCTGTTTGAAAGTGAAACCAGTTTTTTTTTTTTTCATTCAGGCTCTGTCAATCATAGCCAGGGGAGGTGTGGCTAGGGCTGTATAAACAGAAACAAAGTGATTTAACTCACAGTGAATTGAGCAGGGAAACTTGCAGGGGAATGATCTATACTCTAAAACTGCTTTATTTAGCTAAAGTAAGTTAGGTGACTATAGTGTTCCTTTAAATGATTGAAGACTAGGGGAGAGTCTGATGGGGGTAGGCAGGCTATTCCATAGGAAGGGAGCCACCCGCGAGAAGTCCTGCAAACTCAAGTTGGCAGTACGGGTGCGAGCAGCGGACAGGAGAAGGTCATGGGCAGAGCGGAGGGCCAGAGAAGGTGCATACCTATGGATAGAATTGTTCAATGCTTTATATGTATGGGTTAGCTCTTTGAATTGACTCCTATAGGATACAGGAAGCCAATGTAAGGACTGAGGGGTGAGGTGTGAGAGGACTGACCAGAGAGGAAGTTCATTACAGACTGTAGTGGGGCAATATGGCTTTTGGGAAGACCAATCAAGAGAGGGTTACAATAATCCATGCGGGAAATTACTAGATATACTGTTATACGTAGTGTGCCAATAAAATTATAAAATCAGATATAATGTTATATGCAATGTGTCAATGAAATCATACATTCATATATAATGTTATATGCAGTGTGCCAATGAAATTGTACATTCAGATATAATGTTATATGAAGGCCATGGGTGGGATATATACTAGTAAAACTTTTATGCAGTATGCCACTGGAAGGATATCATCAATCAATAATGTTGCATGCAGTGTGCCACTGACTGCATCAGTCCTGGTTACAAAATTATATACAGTGTGCTAATTGCAGGGTATATTCTGGAAGTGATAGTATATGCAGTGTGCCACTGGCAGCATGTGTTCTGGTAGTAATTTTATATTGTTATTTGCAAGTATGTTCTAATAATGTCATATGCAGTTTGCCACCATAGGCTATTTTTTGGCCATGTTACGTACAGTGTGCCACCAGTAGAATTTGTTCTGGTTATAGGGTCATGCTGCAAATACTGTGCAAATCCATTGGACGCAAAACTTTTTTATCCATATATAATATCATGCAGAGGGCACAATATTCTGTCTCCTTTTTTCTTATTTGTGTGAACATCTCTGTAGTTCAAGGGTATCAACTATATCCCTGGGTGGGGATTATAACACCTTATACCTGAATATTTGAGCTTTAATACAAAGCTCTACACTTGTAGTGTACAATTAATATTATTTGATACTTTATGTGCACTATAGTTACAATATTGCACTCTTGGATTTTACTTTGTCATTGCATGTTCAACTGGGGTCTACAAGACTGTCTCTGCCTACACCATATCCAATAGTGGGGATAATACCGCTACATGCTAATGCTATGGAGCTTGTACGTAAGGTCCAAACAACGTGAGTGAGCATTTAAGCATGTTACTGTTTGTTACTAACCAAGTATACTAAATACATAGATACATACATAGATATTTTCTATGATTGGGAAAAGTCCAGCACCTGGATCTAAACCCTATTAAGCATATGATCTCAGGATTCCTATCTGTGCACTAAGAATCTACATGATATCAACGATACTACAAAACTAGGTGTTGCGGCATCGTTTGTGGTTGGGATTTTAAATCTCATCCACATTTTTTACTTCAACTTATTGTCTACACTAAATACTACACTATTAGTATTCCTCTTTCTTTCTCTTCTACCCACATATACACCTAATGAGGACGGAATAGACTGCAAATGAACTCAGGCCATTAGAAGAATTTCTGGATTATATTTCATTGCTTATTTTTTATTGTATTTTATTTAATTTCATATATTCTATAATTTCTCCTTTTTGTTCCCTTTTTTATTTTAGTTATTTGTTTTATTAGTCTTTTTTTATATTGGAGCAACCTGTTGTTTTGTACTACTTGTTCACTCCTTGTTGAGACTTGGAAGGGTCTGTTTCAGAGTTTGCTGCCTTCTACCTGCCCTAGAACTTCCAGCGCTTTACCCTTTTTTTGTTGTTGCTATTTTTGTGTTTACTACCTGAATTACAAGCCTGGCTAATGAGGAGAGTCATACATGGAGTTCTTTGCATGATCCTAGTGCCCCAAGTGTAGCTTAAGTGCATTTTATGATGCACTCATGCTATTTTTTTTGGTGGCCAGTTGCAAAAGCAGGGCACCAGCGAACAAACCTAGGACATTGGAACAGGATGCTAAAATTGGGACGGTCTTGCCAAAATTTCAGAATGTTAACAATAAAAGACACATTTTTACACATTCCCTACTGGAGATGACACTCAGCCATGTGTTTATTAATTTGCTTAAAAGTCTTGTATATTCCGGGGCATTAACTTTTGGCCTGGGGCCAAGTACAAATTAATGGTCTTTTTTGGCCCAACAACTTAGGGATCTCTATGTGAATGGTCCTACTCACAGTGTGCAAACAGTGCATGGGTTTGACTGATGGAGGCTGATGGAATCGCTAAGTGTGACATCATATTTCCATGTAACCTCCATCAGTATGGCTGTGCAGGACACAGTCTGAGAAACCTGCAGAGCCTATAATCAGTGCACATGTCTACAAGGCTTCCTCATTCCAGTCAAGTGCTTTGCCAGGAGAAGCAAAGAACAAACCTAGGACATTGGAACAGGATGCTAAAATTGGGACTGTCTTGCCAAAATTTCAGAATGTTAACAATAAAAGACACATTTTTACACATTCCCTATTGGAGATGACACTCAGCCATGTGTTTATTAATTTGCTTAAAAGTCTTGTATATTCCGGGGCATTAACTTTTGGCCTGGGGCCAAGTACAAATTAATGGTCTTTTTTGGCCCAACAACTTAGGGATCTCTATGTGAATGGTCCTACTCACAGTGTGCAAACAGTGCATGGGTTTGACTGATGGAGGCTGATGGAATCGCTAAGTGTGACATCATATTTCCATGTAACCTCCATCAGTATGGCTGTGCAGGACACAGTCT